ATACATACTATTTATTGGCTCATTCTATTTCTTAAACTTGAAAAGTGCTTGGATTAATGGAAAGTTCATTTCTTTGTTCCATTTTTTAACAAAAAAAANAAAAAAACAAAAAACAAAAAGAGAAACAAACAAAGGGTAAAAAGACTTGTGAAACTATTGAAATCTGCATTTGTGTCATATTATCATATTTGTCAGACACTACCCTGACAAAATTCCGTTCCGGAAATAGCTCTGTTCCGAAAAGAAATGCACATGTAATCGTTCGAAGGTTTCTACTTATCCCAATTATATCAAAAATGTGAATTTAAACAGAAATATTTTGGAGAATTAAATTAAATTAAAACCCGACCATTTAAATAAAGAGACAGTTAGTTTATTTGAGAAACAAAAATATGAAATCAATTGATTAGTGAAAACGAACATCATAATATGATCTTTGGAGCTTAACTGATAGAAGTAATAGTCCTGTATACTGTATAATTTGATGAAAATATTGCCAAAAGAATGGGAGAATAGAAAATTTGAACATAGAAAATTTGTAATAATCATTTGTTGTGAACATTTGATGAGCCATAGACGAAATCGAGAAGTAATGTCGAGGACGGGGGCGACATTTCAAAATTGTTTGTCACCGCATATGGTGCATTTGTATATATGGATATATGAGTTGGTTGTGTCCTTTTAGTTTGCACTACAAAATACACACACACCCCACACCCACAGAAACACACCCACACACACATATATATATATATATGCAATCAGTTAGATTTATCCGACAGCAGCAGAACTGTCACATAAATTGTGTATGTGATCAACAAAGTCCACAACAACACAATGTCCCCTAATACAGTTATTATTATTATTATTATTATTATTATTATTATTATTATTATTATTATTATTATCTATTATTATTATTATTATTATTATTATTATTATTATTATTATTATTATTATTATTATTATTATTATTATCATTATTACTACTACTACTACTACTATTACTACTGTTATTAATTATCTTGTTATAATAGCAAAATACAAAAATTAATCTGATCTAGCTTTTGCGCTACAGAAAATTCTACGAAAAATGTCAGATAAAATATGCTTCTATTTCATTTTGAATATTAACCAAAAATTCTTAATTTAATCAGAAATTAAAATTTTTAGCAATAATCTTGTTTTTTCCAAAGAACAAATTTTTTTTCGGGAATTTTGCAGAAGCTACGAAATTTACTCTTTTCAATGTGTTTCCGCAACTTATTACCACAAAGAACGTGATTGTATCTTGAATTTGCAAACAAGAAATGAATTTCCGGAGGAGTTTGAACGGCAGGATAATGTCACCTATCTAGGAATGATTTGTTCAGTAGGTTAGCGTATATCCTGTTCGTATTCTTAGCTGATAACGGTAGCATTTTCGATGATTTGCAACCATGTATTTGGTATTACTTTAGGAAAGTTGATACTGTATAACTGATACCTTATACCAATACCGTATATTTAGTTATCTTTTTTTAGAAGATTCAAAACAGCAATTAGTGAACATTAATTTGATTCATGGTTGTCGTCGAACTGTTAACATTTCAACTTCAACAACGAAACCGGCGAAGATTTTCACGCCAGGTTGTTGATATTCTTTACTTCTAAAATTTTCTTCCGAGAACTTCTGCATTTAAGTTGAATAGATTCGTTCTCATTAAATCGAAGCTTCGATTAGATATTCAACATTTTAATTCATTAATTGGACATTTTTTTCGAAACAAAATGACACGTGAGATCTTAGTTTAAATTGCGCAATTGTTCAAGTATTGCAATTATGTTACAGAGAAAAAAGGTGATCTCTTATCATTATAGCTTTCAATTTTACTCTACATAATGATCAAAAATTTAAAAATTAGTTTTCGGACTGTTAGCAATGATTTCAGTTTATGTCTTTCAGCATAAATTTATAAAAAATTTCATTTTGATTTTTTGCTCTTTTGATTTTTGCTTTTTTTAGTTCTTTTTCATTCTTTTCTCTCTTCTTTTCAAAGATCCTTTCACCAATCCTTGTTATGATAATTGATAATTTAATTTACTGAACATATACAATTACCATTTAACAAATAATTACTAGGAGTGATTAATAGTTTTTACAGTAAATACTGATAGCTGCTTCGTTGAAATGCCAAATCATGTGCTTCACGGCACAGCATTTGCTGCAGAAACTAACACATCTGTGGAAGCATGTAAGTGCTACTGTATGAGTGCGGAAAATCGATATAGTATCGAATGCCGTAGTATCGAGTACTACTTTAATTCCAGGACATGCCTAATTAGTAATTTGAGCAGGTAATGTGGATAAGTTCCTTTGTTGCAAAAAAAATAAAAATCGAAATTTTTGATTTCCAAATAGCATTAGTGAAGTTCAAAGGTTGTTGTAAGGATTTATATGGAACAAGGATAAGTTATGCGCATGCATAACGGAGAGTAGAAAATACTATCATATAATACAAAGAAAAGAAAGAATTAGAAATTATTTTTTTGAAAATTTCAAGGCAAAAGAAAATCGGATCTGTAATATTTGATTAGTCAAAGATTCACTTCGGTTACCTGTCTACCTGTTTACCTCTCAATTCTAAATAGTTCTTGATGGAATTTCAGGACGACAAATCCAAAAAATTTCAATCAGTTCACTGCCTCTACATTAATGCATAGCTATTTCGATAAAACTTGTTCCATTCAAAGTAATTCTTACTATTTCTTACAACAAATAGTTTTTGGTAAAAAAGAAAAGAAGAAGAAATTGAATGGAAATTTTGTTTTAAAAAAAAGAAAATCTTTTAAAATGAGCAAAAAAAATGAATGAAAACAGTTTGTTTGTATCGCTTTTTTTCTTTTTCAGATAATAAATTCTCAATTTACATGAAAGAAAAATGTTTATCTGAAATGGGTTTGATACCAAATGATAAAAATGAAATTGACAACAATGGAAATGATGCCTTACATTCTGATGAGGTTTAGCTTTTTTCTTTTGTTTTTATAACTAATATTTCCCCCGTTTTATTTCAGTGCGTAAAAGTGTATTTGAATTTTCTAGACGTTAATGTTTTTCGAAGAAGTGAAACAAAAGATTTCCTAAATGTAAAAAATTTTCAAATTACATTTTAAAGAAAAATGCAGGAAATGATGAGAGTTACAGAAAGATTTGAGAGAAAAATTAAATGGAACGAAATTATTGAAAATATTTCTTGGATGATTAGCTTATAAAAAAGAATACCAATAAATTTTTCTATGATTTTTTGATTTCTTTTCAGTGATTAACAGATAAGGAAGAACATAGGAAATAATATTCTAGAAATAGAAAACAGGAAAAAAAAGATTTTTTTGGAAATTTCATTCTTCTGTTAAAATTATTTTTCAATTTTAAAAATAAATTTTTAGGTAAAAAACATTCATGACAATGGCAATGGTATTGATTTAATCGCCAGTAGTATGATCACGACAATAAATCCCATTCACTCCATACATTATGCTACTCGTCGTTCAGGTTACCATGACCTTTCGGAAGGTTATTTTAATTTATTTTTTATCTTGAAATTCATTTTAATTAATTTCGGAATAATAGCTCGCACAAACATTTGGTATAATTGATAAAAATTTTTTTAATTTGCATATTACTTTATTGATATAATAAATTAAACATCGATTTCCGATCTACCAACCAGATTACAATTAAAATTATATTTTCAATTTTTAACAGTAAAATAAAAGCAAAAAAACATGGATCAGGATTTCATGAAGTCCTTGACATTTTAAAAAATATTTATGTCAGCTTTATCGTAACATTAGGTGTATAGTTTATGTTAGTTTGATGGATTTACTAAATTTCCGCTGTTCGAATGATGTCATTATCAACCGTATTAGGTGGTTTACCAACCGTATGATTTATCAATATTAAATTCTTTCAATATTTAAAAAATTAGATTCCAGTCTTCGGAATTCGTTAATTGCAATAGGGAATTCAAATTTTATAGATAATTTTGTAAAACTCCTAGAATTTATTTACTTATATGGCGTATTTTTCTTAAAAAAATTTGCTTAACTTTTTAAGATTTAAAATATTTAGAGATCGGAGAAGAAAACGTGGAAAAGAAATCAAGAGAAATTGGCGATTTGCAAGGTCTTAATCTGGCGGCAATGTTTATGACAACCACAATTTCAACAGGTGATTTTACAATTGCTGCCGATTTGTTTCCGGAACTCAGTGATGCGAGTGCTATTCTTGGTTTGTTTCTCATTCCTGCGCTGAATTTTCTTCAGATGACGTATTCCACTAATTAATAAATCGTTGAATTGCTTCTAATTGTGCGGAAAATTGCTTAGCAGTCAAATTATAATCCCTTCATTGCAAAATAATTTTTTGCGATTAGTGCTAATTAAAATTTGTTGGAATCAAGTTCGATTATTCCTTTGCAATCCTAAAAATAATTTATCAAATTTCGTTTTGTTTTCAGATACAAATAATTTGCCACTTTATCTTCTACTTGAAACAGTTTTTAAGAAATCCAAAAGAATAATGTTTTAAGCCATGTTTTCTTTTAAATCACAATACTTGAAATTAATTTAATACATTTTATGTATTGCTCAAATAATAGAAATTATGTCATAAATGGATGATAATTTTCCTACACTTTTGGTAGTGAGAAATGTTTAATCAGTTTAAGACTGGAAATATTTTAACGTTATCACTGATTAAGTTACAACTCCGCTGAAAATGGATAATATTTCTGACCGGAGAACACTGACAACATCACCTATGAAAAGAACAACATATTCCGATCTTGGAAAGTGTATCTATTCTGCCATTTATCAAACAAACTTCCGCGGTAACAAACGAATCAAGAAATTTCCAGTTTCCAGGTATTTTTTTTGCTTCATTCTCTCTTATTTTGCTTAAATATCCTGAAAATATTACAATTGTCCTTCTTTTTTTGTATTTATATTAGAAGAGATTATTAGAAAAAATGAAAAAGCAAAAAATATATTTTACTTTTATAACGAAAACACAAGAACTTTTAACAGATTGCTATGGTAAAATGATAGCTTTATTGATCCATTGGTACAATAACCAACGATTAAAGATTTTCAACAACAAAGTCTTTTTTTGTTAAATATTTAAATATTAATATCGTTGATGATTTTCCCTATTAAATTGGATTTGTAGGAAAGATTTTCTTAATAGATCATTTATTTCAGTCCTCAAGACTGCTTCCGAGCATGTTATTTGGAAGGATGCCGATCATCAAATCTTCTTCAGATAGATAATCAAACAAATTCTTGTGAATTATTTAGGTATTCTTCCTTTTATATGTTCCTTTACTACCGTTGCTCCTTTTAATTAATGTTTGTAAAATGTCAGCAAATAAATTTTGAAGATATTAGAAACGGAATTTGAAATTTTCCGAGACCAAAAATTTAATTTTAGTCAGAATATTACAAAATGTTTTTTGCTTAACTTTTTCCATGATATGTTAGCATAAAACTTGTAATTATAAGCTATTAATAATTGCCATAATTATTATCACATTTTTACAGGGATGCCTTAATCGATTATCGTACGGCAGATGTACTGGTATACGATAGCGGTAGCGTATATTTCGATGGTATTATTTGCACTGCGAAACGTCGTAAAGAAGATAAAAATAGCAGTAGTGAAAATGATCTTGATAAAATTGATAATGAAGATTATGCTGATAACGACAATAATGAATAATAATTTGACAACGATAATAATAACGATAATGTACAATAATTTGTACAGACCGGTTCAAACATTTTATTGTTGATATTTTTTCACTCAGGAAAAACATGTTTTCTTCTTTTTTTTTATTTTTTTAAGTGATTATAACTGTAATATCTTTTAATGTTAATTCAATTAACTATGATTTCAATTTTTCAAATTCAATTACAAATTACATTTCAGCGTGTTGACGATTAATTTTACTATGATTATGAATGGTTTATTATATTTAAAGTATTGTGTGACTAATTTTGGTGAAACTGTAGACATAGTAGCAGTAGTAGTTGCTATGAAGAAAAAAAACACTGTCGTGAACTAAGAATTACCAGTTATTCATTCTTGATTTCTCGGGTTCAAAAAACTGACCGATTTACAATTGGCATTTTTATCTTTTGAATCAGAATGAGTAATTCATATTTATGTAAAATATTGCGATAACATTTGCTATGAAATATACGAATGTAATTATTAATTACAATTTTGCACATCGTTAGCATCAATGAAAATACTAATAATTAAGGATGGTTACTAAGCAGCAGATTTACTTAATCATTCCATATAATACTTAATATTTATGAGATGATTTGAAGGTATGTATTTATCGGGCATGCGGACATTGATAAGTAAATTATCTAAAAAAAAGGCTTAATTCACGCCATACTTGCTTGTAAGACAGAATACTGATGATTATAAAGTAAGTTGGGAAAAATACTGTGGCATATCAAGGTTTAATTACTGATTGATTTCAACCAGTTCAATTAATTCGACCCCAATTATAAATTAGTCTAATTTAATGTGATAGAAAAAAGAATTAAATTTAAAGGCAAAGAATAATAGCTAATCAAGCAGTGATAATCTAAGCATTAAATGTTTTTAAAGCATGGGGAATTGAAGGTTGGTTGTAACTTCATAAGCTTCATAAAATTTATGAAGCAATTTATGAAGCTTACAGCTTCATAAATTACTACTGGGAATTTTTGGCAATCACTAACAAGAGGTCATAAGGGTCAATAACAAAGGATTGTCGAATTGGTCAATGACTGTGGTCAATTGCTTGCATTACTTTGATAATCAAATATTCGTGATTCATGAAAGAAAATATTCCCATCATCAATTGTTTTTCAGTAAGTTTTATTGTTTTGTCATTGATTTTCTTTAAAAGTTTTCATGCTGAAAAACTGCTTCCTTTTGTTAATTTTTTAAAAGTGATTGTGAGCTCTTTAAAAAAAGAAATTTTCCAAATTTATAAAAAGGCAATAATTTGCAATGAAAAAAGGACAAACATTTGTTTAATGAAAAAAGAATAATGAGAAAAGAGAAGAGTGTAATAGTATAAAAATTTATTTACACCTTTACAGTATGCATATATGTACAAGAAATTAGATACTCTTTTATTTCAAATAATATATGTATTGTTGGAAATAATTATAAGGTTAACTTACTTGTAGTAAATAAGAAAGAAAGGCTTCTTTTTGTCGATCGTTGATTAGGGCAAAAGTTTCCTAACAATGAAACTTTTCTTCTTCATTAGCTCAAAATTTAGTTTCTAAGCAATTTATTTCAGACATTATTTTTGTGAAAAAACTTTCACCTTCGTTCTGTCTTTACCAAAATTTTTAACATAATTTTTTTTTATTTTTTTTCCTTTAATTTTTTTAGATATCCCAATAATTTTGCATCACAATTTAGAAAAAGAAAGGTCAAAAAATTCAACCATATATTGCATTTTTCAATATTCAGAATTTTTCATAACTTATAATTAGACAGACCAGATAATGAAATAAAATAAAAGAAAATTCAGCGATTAAATGTGCTAATATTTTGAAGTGATCCTTTAGGAAAAATTTGATGCTTAATAACATTTGAATGGTACTTAATGCGCAATTGGCCATTGCAATACCATAGTTTAGCATGGTAAAACATG